TGATCTTTAAATTATAAAGTACCGCAGCGATAATGATATTTAACTAGCGCGTATGTCTTTTGTTTATATAGCTAGTAAATTGGTCTCGGTAAATCTTTTTTTGAAAAAATGGTCTCGAGCGTTCCGCATAATAATAATAATAATAATAATAATAATTTATTGACATTTAAGTTTGTACACATATGATTGAGAATCCCCTGGCTCCTGCGCTAGTTTAAACTGTGTTGCAGGAGACAGTGTTTTCCGCACGTAATATAAAGAACTCTATGTCATAGTTAAATAAGCAATACAATAAAAAAAAAAAAAAAAAAAAAAAAAAAAAAAAAATATATCAGACACCACACTTGATTTGTAAAAATGTTGTCTTAGAGAGCGTAACTCATTGTTAATAATAGTTATCTGCGCCACTTCTATAATGTTAAATAAATGCATCACCTGGTTTTCAACGTTTTTGCAAAAAGTACCATGTGTTTGACAGCATTAATGTTAGCTAACGTTTAAAAGCATTAACAGAATATTAGCAATAGATTGTTGAACTGATTGGAGGGCAAAATTTGCGCACTAAAGTACCATATCCAATTGTAATTTTTTCCTCTTTTGAATTCCGGCCTCAAAAATATGCAGTCAAGGGCAATTTTCAAATGGGATTCCATTTGAAAATTGCCCTTGACTCTTGATATAACCTTCAAGGCTGTGGTCAAGGTCAATTTCAAGGTCACTAATGGATAGCTAGGGAAAATTCCTGTAACGTTTGTGTTTAAAGTTTTCCGAAAAATGCATCCGTAGCGAATTATTCTGCTGTTCCGGTACTTTTCTAACACCCGGTATGTAATAATAATACTCCTCCAGAATCGTAACATATAGATAGTTCGCATTACAAACTGAAGTGCGAATGAACAATGGTTCATTACATAACTGTACGATAATGGACGTATCTATGGGAAATATAAAAACTTCTGATCAAAGCCAGAAATTGCTGGCAGCTGTATTTTTATACTTTTTGCTTCCGCGTGGTAAATACACAAGCTGCCCGATAATCAACGTATTGAGAGTTTGCACTCATCCGCGCTTAGCGATGCATGCGTTATTTTACCCCACCATACCCCTGTATTTTTACTGATGTTTGCTATGTCGGTCGAATGTGTATCCATCGTAGGGCTGTACTGTCTACTTATTTTTCGTGTAATTTATTTCACCGCATTTTTAATGGTTTTCGACCAAAAACTGGTTTTGGAGAATTATGAAGTTCTGTAAGATTCTTATTAGTTTTATTAATGATAATTTTATTTAATGATGTAAATATATCTCTCACACATCTCACACACGGAAGTCTGATCCCAAACTACTATACTATGGTAAACATACTGCTAATAAACATACTTATATATTTTTAAATAGATACATATTATAGATAAATTACACCCAGACACAGAACAAATGATCGTGCTCATCACACAATATTTCTCCTGGGTGGGAAACGAACTCACGACCTCCGATTTAGCAGTCAGGATCACTAACCACTAGACCAACTGGCCCGTCGATCAATTTTTTTCACCTTCGACTAATATGAACGTTAATTGTTTAGTTTATTTATAATCATATGTTCCAAAGAAATGTTAGATTCACCGAACTATGAACTAAGCAATATCCACATTCTCAAAGCCATCAACTTTGCGCAGGAGGATATAAACTCCGTGTCATCTAACTGCGGCTACTCTTATGCGGTACCCGTAGTCGCTTTCTCCCGTTTTTGCACAGCTCCTTCTCCTTCAGTCATGCTTCCTATCATGAAATATAAGCATTATATTCACATTAAACCTTAAGAAATTATTTTTCATCACAAGCTGCAACCCTATTACCCAATGAATATTCACAGAATACATCCCGTATTTATATGTTTGGCTCGAAGTGTGCATTTGGGATTGCATAAGGTAGCGTACATAACAAGCCGCGATGGCAATAAGCGTGTTGGTATTTTTTCCATGAGTATCAATTAAATACTTACAAATTAATTACAACTTTCGAGGAATTGACATAGCGATCCGTTTGTTATTAATTGATATGTAAGTAGGCCTGTCATTGTTTTAGCAATGAACGATTTGTTTAATAAACAGTTTCTTTTTAATACAAAATTGTAACATAATAAATTTAACGACTATCAACGTTTTCGTAAAAGTTGATTAAAAACGCTTTTGTCTGAAACAACAAATTAAGGATAAACTAACAAAACTTTTATCATTATTTGTACGAGTTTTGCATCCATAATTTTGCGATGAAATACATAAAGTAAAAAGTTGTTTCGTGTTTCTACTTTAGTATTTACAGCACGCTATCTACTTCGAAAATCTTTTCTAGGAATAGACTTCAACAATGTGAAAATATGTTTTTAAAGTTACTTAACACATTAAGAATAGGTACAGTTATGACTTTTGCGGTATACATTTTACATTATAAGATTTTCACAAATTTTGAAACTTCTAGCTACCAAAAGGTAAAAATTCGCTCGGCGTTTACGGTTGCAAATCTAATGTATATAATTCACCTCGATTTAATTTTACAAGACCTGTGTTTCGTACAGTGGTGTCTAGCATTTGAAGATGTTTTAATTTCAATTTTCAGAGGGAACACTCTGGGCACCTTATAATGTGATATTCGTTTAGGTATTTTATTTCCCGGCGGATGGGCGCGCGCCTGTGGCTCAGCGGGAGGAAACAAAGCCATTTCCTAGCCGTCGCCAATCTGTGGCCACTAGAGACGAGACTATACACGTCGCCCTCCCCTGCCACGGCCTGACATGTGACGTCTTACGTTATTAAATCTCCTTGTTTTATTTCTTAATGTTATTATACCTTTTTTGCTTTTCTCTGAACCTGTTTAGTAGCAATTATGTTGCGCGCGGTTTTTAGGAAAGCTTTAGCATTATATAATCATGGGTTCAACTCGCGTGGTTCTATTACTCCCAAGCTAGGTCACTGCAATTGCAATTGAATGGTTGGCGTTCCTTGTGTTAGATCTTCGTTCAGCAGTGGTGGTTCAAAAATGGATCAGTATCTTTTCAGTCAGATAGTGCTACCATTTTTGACCTTAACAGCAAATAAGTTTATAATTCAACGGTGTTAATTGTTTTATTAAATAACTTTGGCGATAATGATATTACATATATCCTTAATGTGTACAACTGAAAACCTTACCTATAATAATATTGCTTCTGAAGGTTCTACAAGTGCATTTAAGTACTTTTGTGGTCGATAGAGGGCCAAATTAATGGAATGTTATTACGTTAAAAAAATAATGTTAATTAATACAACGGTTTAGTATTAAAAAAACGCTATGAAATCAATAGATGTCTTCAATTTACACTCTCGTCACAGATTACTTTACAACGACAGTGACAGATAAATAAAAGCTATCGACGGTCTAAAGAGGATTATAAAATAAATGTTTACCTACCATTATACTCTAATTCTAGTTAAATGAAGCTTGTACAAGAAATTATAAACATGATAACAAAAAAAATGTGCAAAAACATATTGTAGTAGGTAATGCATTGAAAGTCGTTGTGTCGTTGTCCCTTAACGTATTATATCCCGAGCAGGGACGAGCTGTCTAAGACGTGTCGATTTAGCATTCCGACTGAATTTGACATTCGCAATGTTTATTGCCATCCCATTCGGCGGGCTTCTTTGTGCGAATCTTTTTGTGGTATAATTTATCTAATTTGGAACAAAGCGGATTATATGCGGGATGTTCACTCAATTCACGCTAGAGGCAGTCTTGAATTTTTATTAGAAGATTTTGTTTTTCAGTTTTGTAGCAAATATTAAGGAACCTGGCCCCAAAATTTCTTTGTCAGCTTTCTCTTTTGTATTCAGGATCATATTTTTAAATATATTTTTTTGCATCTGACGTTAGAATAGGAAATCTTTAAAAAAATACGAATTCTACTTTCATAAAATTTGTTAAGATATAATTTAAGGGTATCAGAGATAGAAGCGACTACTGTTAACAAAATTTGTGGATCAACGAGGATGGTTTCGAACCCACGCGTTCGAATTGGATTAGCAGTCCAACGCCTTGACCACTCAGTAACCTCGTCATGTCGAAAATTTGTTGAAATAACGATACGATGTCATGGTGTACTTATTCTTTTCTTAACCACGTAAAAGCCGCGCTTCTTATTGAAAGTTTTAATATTGCAATTGCAATATTGAAATGAAATGCATCGTACATAATGGTTTTAATATTTAAAATCCAATTGGCGCATTTATTTGGCAAACGAAACAGAAAATACTTTCTTTTTGCTTAACTAAAAAAAAAGTATTTTCTTCTTTACAATTAAATCGTGCATGTAATATTTATATAAGGAAAAACCTCAGAAAGTCTTTTAGAACTTAAATATTTTTGTCTATTAAATAAACAACTTGTTACACTCACGCAAAAAGTTTTTTTTTTTTAATATAGCAAATTTTAAGTACTATCGAGATATAAGTCTGTACGGAACTCTCGGTGCGCCGCCGCCGCACAGTGCGGCCGATTCCCAAAAAGCTGGCCAAAACTCGAAAAATCAAGTAATTGATTCAAAATTTCTTACTCGGGGGTTTTCGGGGTCGCTGATTACGAATTTGATTTTAAAAATTTGAAAATCCACCCCCTTCCACCCCTATTGGCCACCCCCTCACGTGAAATAGCGTATATTCTAGAACATAATCAAGATGCATGTCAATTTATATCTTTTCGGGGTCGCTGATTACGAATTTGATCTTAAAATTTTGAAAATCCACCCCTTTCCACCAGTATTATGAAATTCAAAATGGCGGATCCAACAAAACGCAATACAAACAGTTTTCAAGTTTCTTCGTGTACCTTTTCTTTGTTACTATTCAATCATTATAGTCAGACTAAATCAATATACTACACAAACATTTTTCAAATTTTCATTTCCAAAACCTTTTATTAAATTTAAAAATTGTAGGTTATACAGCAAAATAAATTATTTAGTTTTAATTACATAAAAAAAAATAGTTTTCAGCAAGATCTTCAGCATCTACATCTGTCTCTGTCTCAGAGGCCGAACTACAATCAGTACTTTCCAACACTTCTTCCGCATCAATAGATGGAGACAACAGTAAATCAATTGTATCTGCTGACAAAGACTTCATCGGTTTTGCTGGCAACTTTCTGCAACTTGAAATGTATGGGTCAGAAGCTAATAAAAATCGTTTAAACACGTCCTCCATTGTTTTCTGACGATAGTTCTTTCTAGCGAAGTTCAGGCGATAGATGGCAAAAAATTGATTGCAAGCCTCTTGAGCATCTTCCGACATTTGTCCGATAGGCAAAACGGCATCTTGAATGATTTCTGGACCATGAATCAAAAGCTTATGCACTAAAGTTGGCATATAATACCAATCATATTTCTCTACTAGCATTCTAGCCAACTTTACACTATACCCCCGGAAGTTTCCTATATTTATCTCATGTCCACTTGAAATGGCTTGCAGGATGATGTAGAAACGATATATGATGTCCTGATCGACTCCCGTTATTTTTGCCGATTGTTGATATTTTTCAGAAAAATGTCGTGCAGTATTACCATCATTCGATGTTCCAGATCCAAATTTAGGCTTGTCAACGTTTAACCCCATCTCTTTTTTAAACGCAGTTTGTATTTTTTTTTCGGTTTTCAACAGACTGTTTTTCTTCTGGCTTACGAGCCTGCCATTTCTCGATTTTCAATTTGTACGACAAATGTAGCAGAAACTCGAAACATCTAATCCAACAATGAAGCGATGAAATGCCAAATTTCAAGTGTTCCGTAATAATGTCTGTTTGAAGCATTGCATCAATGTCGTTGAAATCTTTTGATGTGCGCTTACATAGATAACAACGCATAGCAGAAGTTGTATCTGTCAATGAGTTACACACTTTGGTATCTATCATTGTTAAGGATAAATCATACTTGACACGCACGATTGTCCCATCAACAGTAGTTTCAAACGCATCGAGATTTTGATTTGATTTTGATCTTCCACCTCGTCTGTTGTTTTTTTTTGTCAAGTCAACTGATTTTTTGTGCACAAACAATAGCATAAAAGCCAAGGTAGCAAGTGGTAGCAGCTAAATCTTGTTTTATTCAGTAACTATTACTTTTTTGAGTAACCTCTAATAGGTTTCAAAGCAGCATATGACGGCGTTGTATTACTATACAGTTTGAAAACTTAAATTTAAAAAAATATATGCAAAAAATGTATCTTCGTATTGCTGCAGCTAAAAATTTTGTGTCGAGGTATTGATATGTACTAAAGATTTCTCGTATTTTACTAACCTTCCGAAGATGATTCCATTTGGTTTTGTTCAATTTACTTCATTACAAAATCTTTCACATGTGTACAACTTTCACTATTCATCGACAGTAATACGATGCTCAAACGAAGTCCACGTTGCGACTGAAAATACAGAGGATACTTAGGGTATAGGACGTTGCTATGAACAGTTTTCACTTCTCAGGGGATTACTGTAGCCAACCCAAAGACAAAAATACTCTATCTAGAAACTTTTTTTTTCGACTTTTGGCCAGCTTTTTGGGAATCGGCCGCACTGTGCGCCGGTCCGATTTTGTTTATATTTAACAAATCAATAACGTCAAATGTATGCATAAATAAACCACGTATTAAGAAAGAAATGTCAATAAGGCGACAATAAGCGCTTGCTTCGACCACTTAATATATGTACAAATGTAAAGTTTCATATGAGTCCAGTGTGACCGTTTCTAATACCGAGCATACGAGTAAAGCCCCTGGATTTGTTCGATGCGCTCATCCAAATACAGCAAACACCTGGACCCATTCCGCTTAAACACTTAAACATGTCCTATTGATGTATGTGTTCCAGGGTTTACAGCACCAAAGTACCGTAGTTTATATGTCTTCTTCTGTCAAAATAGTTTCACAGATTGTGCTTGTATTTGACCCATTTCACTGTGCGCGTAAGTCAGTCTATTGAAGAGTTCTATTGCTAATAGCCTTTGTCACAAGGGATATCAGGTGTGCAACTGTGTTACAATAATGTGCAAAGCCTTTGATCTAAATTCATTCATGCTTAGCTTTCGTTACTTTGCCCGACCTTTGAGAAGTTTGTGCCCCAAAATCCAAAGAATAAGAAATTTATGTAACGCCTAATATCAACCGTAACGTCTTTATTTTGCGACCAGGTACTATATCTTCTAAGTCTTTTACTGTTATTACTCTAAAATTACACTTAATGTACATTTTTATTAGTCTTTATAATATGTTTTATTAGTTTCTTACCATTTCTATTCAAATAATATGTCGAATTGTAGTTTTGACTTTAGTTAATATGTAACTACTATTTATTACGGGTTCGTCAAGATTATTGTTTTTATCCAGATAGTGTTGCAAGTTCATTCTGCACGTTCGCAAATATAACCGGATAACCTTCCAATTTGAAATACAAACATATTTAATCAAAAGCGTGTACCCGAGCCGACTCATAATATAATGAATTTATCTGGCGAGTTTAATTTAAGCAAAAGTGAGCTCTATCTGAATACATTGTTTCCGTCGCGTTGGCCGGGCGCTCATTAAGTATTATAACTTAAACGTCACAGTGGTGCCGACCCATGTAGCAAATTGTGCTCGTAGAATTAATTCAGCTTACATAGAAGCCATAACAATAACTGGATATCATTATTATTCGCGCGGGGGCAGGGTTGCCACTCGCTAGGAAATGAATATTCCATTCCTAATGGACCTGTACTTTCTTTCATTAAAACTTACATTATGTGCCCCACTCCGCTCTTGAATAATTACAACACTTCTTCGGAATTTGAATGAGCCGACGCGTAGGTAATGAATCGAGAATTTCATAGCAATCGTTACTGTTTGTTTTCTGAATAATTCATCTTGCTTTTCGTGTTACAACATCTAGAATGAACCCAGGGTTTCCTACTTACAGTGGGTTATTTCTGCGCACCTGCAAGGTTTGAATGTGCATCTATCGAAGCTTTTATTTTTTTCTTACCAGAATACTCATATCTTGTTTGAACAAAATATAATCTTTCTGTTAAGAAAACTACTTCTTAAGTTGCTTGTGCCCATAGGGTATTTAGTCACTTGTAAACCCGCCTGTTCGTTTCCTTTATAGCATAAAAAAGAAACAGAAAAATATCATTTTGTGTTTCTTATTTTACCATAACTGGAGAACTAAGTCGTCTAGCCATGCCATTATTATTCTAGCTAGTTAAACCATCGTACACAAGCAGTCAATAAACACCTCATCTTTCCTATATTCTTTTTCTAGTAGAATTTTCTTGAAAGTAGCAAATCATAGTTGTGTCGTTTACTACGGTTCTGGGTACGAAGCTTCAACAGCGATATACGAGGAACATTTGAAGCGTTCGCAGTCACGTTTAGCGAATAACGTATCGTGTTCAAAGATTGTAATAGTGCTTCCGTAGTGACAGATTGCTTGCACGTACCAGCTACATATTTCTCAAAGTTAGTTCCTGCAAATCTTTTTGCTATAAAATAGCTATCTACTCCAGGTGATTATGTAGGTCACTAGGTAGTTTGTTACACAATTTGATTTTAGAACAGCCTAATTAGATGCGAAAGCACGGGCATTCGCATCTAATTAGACTGTTCTAAAATGACCTGGGACCTTTCTAAATATAGAATTAGAAATGTCAATGGAATAGTTCAAAATTCATCTGTCAGTAAATTCAAATTTTTTAAGCTTATGTTTAGACAATACAAAATAATGTTATTTTGTTGTGTAATAATTTCCAAAGATCTATAAAACTACAAATTTAGTAAAAAAGTTATAGATTCTCATAGAATCGACTTATTTTACTGGAAAACCCCTTTTTTTTTGTTGTCGTTATATTATTGGTAACATATATAGATAGTAAAATGTTTTTTTTCATTGTCATTTTACCTTTTAGTCTTTAATAACGGATATACTGACACACATCAAAACAATGTTGTGATATATTTAATGATGCCATTGTATCAATCTGTAAATTGCAAAACAGTGGCCATGAGTTTGTTTGTCCTTTCTTCTTATAAGGCCCAACCCCTTAGAAACGGGCGGTTGTTGATCGGCACAGGCATATCATAGATGGCTGCCTGTGGACGGGACGGGTTTTCTCTTCCACCCGCCATAATGGACATCCGCGTGTGCCGGACGTCACCTAAATAGAGAATGTACCCGTAGGTGGTGCCCGCACAAATGCGGGCAGGCGCTAGGAGGGGTCCGGATGTCTTAATAACAGCAGTTCCCGGATCCCTCCTATTACAGGCGCAGAGTGGCACACCGTGGGGTTTTAGTCGGTCCGATTCCGACACACCACCCCGCCGCAAAACCCCGGTGGGGATTTCCACACGTAAAAAAAGGCATATCATAGATTTTGTATAAGTATTATTTTGCCAACTATTTGACAAACAGAGATTGTTACTAATGTGCGTGCTGATGCGTAATGTGCGTGCGACCTTAGTGTGTACATAAAACACGATTTAAAACAACTTTAATTTTTTATGAAATAAGTATATTTTGAGTTTGAGTTAATTACAAGAAAATGTACGCAATTTATTGGATATCGAGTTAATAAGTTTAAATTAATTTATCTTTCAAAAGCGTCTGTTTGGAACATGACTTACTTCCACTTCGTTGCATATTAATGCTCTGTAAATCTTAGCCTTACTTATAGAAGAATAAACTGTCGATTGATAAGAATTGATAAGTATTGAGATGATTGAGATATAAGTAAGGTAAATATTGTCGTTTTACACCGTGAGCTGCTTTCACAGCTCACGGTGTAAAACGACAATATTTATATTCAGACTTCAAGGTTCTGAGAAAAGATTCTCGGGGTATTGAGAAAATAATTAACTATTATTGGCAAAACAAGATTAATTATTATTGGCAAAATTAATTATTATTGGCAAAACAAGATATTATATTATTCAAAGTCCATACTAGTTTTTAATACTTGTAGTACCTATCTTCTACCCAGTATAGCAATCAATCGCAATTCCAGGTATCAAAATCTCTGATCGTTCAGTTACGCAGTAATTACTAATACTGTTGAATTAACTTTAGAAAATGTTTTCTTTTTTAAGGTAATAGCTCAAATACTCATCACTAATGCGAAAGTAGTTTGTTTCAGTTGGTTAAACTTACAAAAACCTAGTAAATACACCAAGTATAAAAATAATTC